GGTGGGAATGAAAGCTCCCTCCAGCCAGGGCATTCTTGTAAAGTTCACACCTCACAGGAGGGGGGAGCTCACAATCTCCAGCTAGTTCTGAAAATGTCAGATTCACCTTGACTCAGGCTCCCTCTTCCAGCCGTTCCTCTGCATCCCACCCAGTGTACAGTCCCTGAAAGAGCGGGAGTCCATTTCCCTCTTGGTGTGATGGAGAGACTGTGATTACAGCAGGGAAATAAGGACTCCTGGGTTGTGTCTGTCATCGTGTCTCTCATTCTCTGTGTGACCTTGGCCACACCTCTCCCTGTGCCTCAGTTTACCTATCGATATAATGAGGATATGTTCATAGTGACTTTCCTTTGCTAGGAGCTTTGAAGATCCTTCACTAAAAGGTGCTGCACAGTGTGATGATAGTTACTGGGGAGAAATACTGATCTCTGATCCCTTAGCGACTGCCCCATGTACCTACAGACAGTGCTAGTGTCTCTCCTCAGCCATCTGTCTCCAGATCTTTCTGTCTACAACCTACCTATCCATCCTGGGCATTTACAGGTATCAGACCACATAGAGACCTAGCCCTTATCCGTAGTTCTCTTACTAATCAGCTATAATTTTTAAATATACACAGAGCAGCCAATTCCTCTCTAACTCAGCACAAAGCCCAAGAGTTCTCATCTCCCTTTGCAAAGGTCCCTTAATTACTGTTTACTGCTAAAGGTGGACAAAAAACACAGAAGTGCAGATATGGAAACAGAGACATGAGCTAGAGTGAGTCCAGTCTCCAGCCTGTCTGCATCCAAATGCCGCTTCTCCCCTAGAGGCTGAGAGAATCCCCTGGGATTGCACAGAGCTATATTATAAACAGTGCTCAGCCCTGGGTCGGCTCTCGGCATGGGATGCTGCTGCAGATGCTGGGGTGAGAGAGGTGTTGGACACGGATACCTGAGGGGGATTCCCAGGGGAGACATTTCCGTCTAAGGATTCACAGGTACCCATCTCTTGTTGAGGAGCTCACCTGCTTAACAAACTCAGTGTGACATGGGTGTGATGGGATAGAGAATAGGTCTGTGGTCCTTTCACTCTGCACAGCCATTAAACATCCCAGGACCCTTGCCACAGGGGATGAGTTTGCGCCAGTATCTCCGGCCAAAATGTCACTTTGCTGTGCCTCCCTGGCAGATGGCCTCCAGCTCTGAGTAGCTGCATTTCAGTTGCACAGTCGATCCTTTAGGATGAAAGGTGTTTGAATTTGAGGTCGTGGCCACACTGAGGCAAAACTCCCCTTGGAGTAAGAAGTGAGTAAAGAGCTGAGGAGCCAGGTGTGTGTTAATGCACAGACATTGTCACCTCCTCCTCTTGCATTTCAGGCTATTAATGGGGGGTGGGGAGGGCTGTTACCTGAGTTTTATCTGCTGGAAATCATGGAGGTGCTAGGGCTCCTCACTGGAACAATTCTTAGAATTTTACAACATGGCAACACATATTTTCTCCGAGCTTCATTCTATAATTTCGCTGAACTGTTATGCCTGAAACTTTCAAAAAAAAAAAAAAATCAGCCGGAAGCAGACCCCCAGCATGACAAATTTCCATCCGAACAGTTAATGTTTGGCAAACTTATCAGCAACTGAAAATCAGGTCTTCTAATGGAAGGTGTCAGACAGCCTTAACTAACGGTGGTGCCACCAACACCACGTACAATATCCAATTCATTTGTGAATCACATTCACCTCTTTGCTCCAATAATGTTTGTGGCAAGGAGGGTCCACAGGACAAATATGGATTATATAAGCAATTTCCTATCAGTGTTATATGTTCAGACTTCCAATGGAATTGAATGTTCCCTTGTTCATGTGCTGTGAGAGACAGTACATATAAATGCCTGATCTATTTTCTTTATCGATAGATGGATAGTGTTTAAGGCCTGAAGGAACCATTAGGTAATCCAGTCTTAATTCCTGTATAGCACAGGCCATTAAATTCCACCTAGTTACCCCAGTACTGAGCTCCATAACTCGTGTTTGACTAAGGCCTGGTCTACACTAGGATTTTATATCAGAGAATCATAGAGCCACAGGGTCAGAAGGGACCAAAATGGTCATCTACTGTAAACGCCTGCCAAGATTCAGGGTTTGTTGTGTCTAAACCATCCAGGACAGAGGGCTATTTAGCCTCCTTTGGAAAACCTCTAGCGAAACACCTTCCACGACCTCCAAGGCATCTGTTCCATTGTCCTCCTTTTCTTACAGTTAAAAGAAGAACAGGAGGACTTGTGGCACCTTAGAGACTAACAAATTTATTAGAGCATAAGCTTTCGTGGACTACAGCCCACTTCTTCGGATGCATATCAGACTAACACGGCTGCTACTCTGAAACCTTTCTTACAGTTAGGAACTTTTTAATGAGATTTCATCTAAATCTGCTATGCTGTAGTTTGAACCCATTGCCTCTTGTCCTGCCCTCAGTGGCAAGAGAGAACAACTTTTCTACATCTTTGTTATTTCAGCCTTTCGAGTATCTGAAGACCGTTGTCATGTCCCTGCTCAATTTCCTCTTTTCCAAATTCAACATACCCAGATCCTTCAGCCTTTACTCATACGGTTTGTATTCCATCCCTTATATCATCTTTGTCTCTCTCCACTGGACTCTTTCCAGTTTCTCTACATCCTTCTGATACATTGGTGACCCCTAAATCCTTTTCAGGGTCCCTGCGTTCCATAATACAATGCCTTAGTCTATGGGTCTGTCCTGCCTTCTCTGTTCTGAGAGGATAACTTTGCATTTGACAGCACTAACATTTTGTTTGCATGGGCCCACCTCACCAAATGCTCCAGATCAATAAGTGTGCCTGCCCTGGCCTCCTCATTGTAACCACCCTGCCAATCTTTGGATCATCCAGAAATTTTATCTGCAGTTATTTTCTATTAGCTTCCAGATCATTCATGAAAATATGCAATAGCATCGGGCCTAGAACTGATCCCTGAAGAACCCCACTACAAAGAGCCCCTTTTGCTGACAATGTGAGTGGGCTGTAGTCCACGAAAGCTTATGCTCTAATAAATTTGTTAGTCTCTAAGGTGCCACAAGTACTCCTGTTCTTCTTAATGTGGGGGGAGGGATAGCTCAGTGGTTTGAGCATTGGCCTGCTAAACCCAGCGTTGTGAGTTCAATCCTTGAGGGGGCCACTTGGGGATCTGGGGCAAAATCAGTACTTGGTCCTGCTAGTGAAGGCAGGGAGCTGGACTCAATGACCTTTCAAGGTCCCTTCCAGTTCTAGGAGATGGGATAGCTCTATTAATTATTTATTTTAATGTGCCATTGACGATGGCTTTCTGAGATTTGTTATTTAGCTAGTTTATGGACCATTTAACATGTGCTCTACTGATATTGTAGAGTGTTCATTTTTAATCTGAATGTTTGCCCCTACTAAATCAAATACCTAAGAGAAATGTCAAATCTATTGCATATGTGTGGTTCCCTTGATTAGCCAAACATGTACTGTCTTTAAAGGATGAAATTAGGTTTATTTCACAAGACCTGTTTTCCATAACCCGTGTTGTTGACTGGCATTTATTATATTCCTAGATTTTATTTTGTTAGCACTATCCCATATCAGTTTTCCCATCGTTTCCTAACTTGGACCAATCTTTCTTTTCAAACTTTCTCTTTATTTTTAATAGTTGATGTTTAACACAGTACTTGCCTTTTTTTTGTGGCTCTACTGCTGCCTGATTGTGTACTTCTGGTTCCGAATGAGATGTGTGGTTGATCAGTCAGTTCGTAACTCTGGTGTTCATAACTCTGAGGTACTACTCTAGATGCTGTTTAACACCCTCCTTGACTGCTAATGGACTGGGAAGTATTTCATCAGCTCGTGTGATATGAGTACCTCATGCTGCTTCTTTCCAAATGCAGAAGAAAAATATTTCTTAATAACATCTATCTTTTCTGCAACTTTAACAAGTTTCCTTTCTTGCTCTAGAATTTGGCCTAAACCTTTTCTACAATTTCTTTTGTTCTTAATATACTTAATAACATCCTTTTGGGATCCTTAACCCTGTCAAGCATGGATTTTTCCCAGATGTTTTTAACATCTCTCATCAATTTTCACATATTCCAGCTCGCATTGCTTGCTATCATTATGCCATTTCCCCATTTGTTATATATTGCTTCCCCGCCCTTCACAATTTCTCCATTCACTTTGCCATTGAACCAGATTCTTAGCCAAAGCTGTCCACCTCCTTGAATGTAGAATCATGGCTTTTTTAGCTATCTAATAATCTCTTCATAAAGAACTCCAAGTTTCATTTCTATTTTTCTGTCTACATTTTTCCTCCAAT